ACATATCTTTGCCACATGCTCATCATCATTATTATTTGTTGGATATAGCCGGGTTTTGCTATAAAAACGTGGATTTGGCCGGTTTTGCTCCTAAAGTGACCTTTTAAATGTGATTTTAAAATGGATATAGTCGGATTTAAACCGAATTATCTTGGTTGTCGATAGAAATGAACCCAAAGATGCGAAATCAAAAAAAAAAACTGAATAAAATGGATTTAGCCGGTTTTGCACGAATGCTCCTCATATATTGTTTTACCATTATCCCATTTGGTAAATACTTGCTTTACCAGGCTGTATAAAAAATGCTAAAATTATTTGTTTTTTTAAAAAGGGTGATAAAAGTTCAATTCAAAACTATAGACAAATAGCGCTTTTTTTTTTTCGGCTGAAGGACTACGGTCAATATTGAACTTGGTTTTAGTTCAATAAAGCATTATTATTATTATTAGCGCTTTTGTCAGTCATCTCAAAAATTCTTGAAAAATGTCTAGCTGGACGAATAATTCAATTTTTTTATTCACAATATATTATCGAAAAATCAGCATGGTTTTCGTAAAAATCGATCCACACACTGCTTTAACAAATATTGTTGATTATATTTATAAACCCCTTAATGACAAATTTAAAGTTATTACTTCATTTGTCGATCTTTCAAAAGCATTCGAATGCGTCAATAACAAAATTCTACTTAAAAAATTGAATGTTATTGTTTGCGTGGCCAGTGTAATAAATTATTAAAATCCTATTTGTCAAACAGGAAGCAATTTGTTCTTTTTGAGGACGAAATATCAGACGTTTGTAATGTTGATATAGGAGTCCCTAAAGGAAGTGTGTCTTTTTTTTATTATACAGTAATGACTTTCAACATGAATTAAAATATATCACTGTTCATTTGCTGATAATATTACGATTATTTCAATTGCCAATAATGAATAAGAAATGTACAATAAACTTAATTTAAATATGAATAAAATTTACAATTATTTTCTAAAAAATGGGTTATCTTTAAACCATGGAAAAAACTTTTAATATTGAATTTCATCCATATGGTGCATATTACATTAAAAGTCCACTTATTAAATTAAACAATAAAACGATTAAACAAGTTTTATTCACAAAATTGTTAGGTGTTAATATTGATATGTCACTAAATTGGAAGGAGCAAGTTAATCTGGTATGTAGTGTAGTAGTTAAAAGATTACAAAATATTTCTAATGCAAAGGTGGTAAAAATGTTCTATAACTCTAATATAGAATCCATAATGCGTTATGCTATCATATTGTGGGGAAACGGGCGATACGATGTATGTTCGGTTTGAAAATAAGAGACTTGTGCAAAAATATGTTTATTAGGCAAAACATACTAACGTTTTCATCATTGTATATTTTTGAAATGCTTAAGTTTGTTAAATTAAATTTAAATAAGTTTGAGTTTCAAAATGTACCTACACCACAATTATGGTATACGCAGAGGTAACGAATTACAATTTGCTTTGCACAGAATGGAGCTGTATAAATCTAATACTTTTTATATTGGATTTGTATTATATAATAACCTTCCATTATCGATTACAGACTTACCAACTTCAAATTATTTATGTCAAATTACAAAAATTCTTAATGATAATGCGTTTTATTCTGTAAATGATTATTTGCAGTGTCATATTTAACTGATTATAAAGTATTGTACTTTCTGTATTTAACTATAGTTAAGTTTTATTGTATGTTGTATTTTCTTAATGTTTAGGTAATATAATGTAATTTTTTGTTGTTGACTTGTCCTATATCGTGATCTGATTTACTGGATGAATATTATGATATTATTATTATTATTATTATTATTAATAACGGCGGGATAGTTGAATATTTATTATGATTTTGTGGAACACTTAAAAAAATCGACGAAAAAAGTGAAAGGTGATATTTAAAATCGGCGGGAAACCACGGAAACCTCGAGATACCTAACAATAAAAAGTAAGTACTGTTTTATTCAAAGTACCTAAAACTAGCTGAGTATGCAAAACAAAAAACAATTATCAACAAGTAATCAATAATAACACAAATGTAAATTTTAATAAATGTAGAGTATTGCCCACTGTGCAAGCATATTTTAGTCATATGTCGTAGGTCAGGAACAACCAGTGGCGGGTCAAAATTTCTACTTTACTTATACAATTTTTATTTTTATAAAAAAATGGCACTAATGCAAAAATGAGGAAAAACTTTTTTATTTTGGCGTGTACTATCATCCCCTTAAATGATGACAACTTATTTGGTGACACCCTGTATAAATATTTAAAATTTAAAGATTATTTTATAACATGGTTGTAGGTTGTTTAAAAACTCTATCTCTAATATTACAGGTTAAGTTATAACTTATACTTATTTGTATAGAATTATTTGTGAAACGGCCGTAAGATATGATAATTTTATAACTATATTTGTAAATTCACAATTTAAGTTGGATTATTTATTTTCTTTTTTTATTTTTGAGTTAATGACATTCCAGGTGGCTTTAATTTTATCATCTGAATTTTGGATGTAGTTAAGATCTTTAGTTTTTACAATGTTTTCTAGTTCTCTTTTATAGGCTTCTTTTAGCTTTTGATATAGACTTTTTGAAATTGTGTCTTCTTACTATTGCTATTGTATATGCTGCATCAAGTTGTTTTTTTAGAATTTTAATTTCTGCCGTTAAATTATACTTTTTTACTTTGAATGATACTTTTATGTTTTTTTCCGGAAACGAAGAATTATAGTGGACCCTCGTATATATAAAAAAAAATCTGACAACTCGCGAGGCGAGAATTATATTGTATATTATCTGCACTTTTCCAAATCTGGGATTTTAGCTTGGTTTAAAATATTTTAATGAATATGGTTATATTTACACTGACTTAAAACAATTTTTATTACTCTTTAAGCAACAAAATGCATTTGAAAATTGTTCTATATTTTATTTCCAGAAATACCAAATCATTATAATGTTCTATCTGCTTTGCTTATAGGATTGTCGGAATTTTGGAGATAGAACATTATAATTCTGTAAATTTCAGTTTAAGACTGTAATTTCGGCGATACATGAGAGCTCTTTTGTGTCCTAAAAATAGGGTGAAAAATTTATTCTGTTATCTAATTATTGTATTTCACTTGCTTTTTTTAAATTCTAACAATAAAATATACAAGGAATTGTGTAATAAGAAAAATATTACACCAGTTAAAAAGGTCATTCAATTACGAATTTCTTAAACCCAAATGAGGCGTTTATATCATATTTTAAAAAATGGTGGTAACCTAGCTATAGAAGAAATTAAAAAAAAACACTTTAAATCAAAGGAGTTTTGCAAAATAAAAGGTATAAGGACCGCCAGAGTACAGATAAAACAACAGCCGTTATTTGTTTTGATATGGAGAATGTATTTGTTCTTCCACGATCTAATATTTCCTGTTTCTTTTATTCAAAAAAATTTATTTCAGTTGTCGTTTGCTTAAAGAAGTTTATGAAAGAATTCCCGGAGATCAAGAAAATAGCACAAACATTTTCAGAGCCAGGGCACACTCAAATACGGAAAGTCCTCAGAGAATATTAATTTTAAATTACCTTATGCATGAAGGCCGGGATGCCAGGTCTGGTGATTTGACACCAGTTCTGGTGATTTTAGACTGTGTTTGGTGATTAGGGTGTCCGTTATTTGGGCGATGTGCGAATTTTTTTGCTCGCACCCCCCAAAAAGTTGTAGTTTGGGAAAAAAAAATTTTTGGTAATTTTTTTAGATTTTTTTTTTTTAATTAACCCGTGCCGCAAGAGGCTTAAAGATTTAATTATTGTTAAAATATGAATAAATTTTGCCTTTCACTATAGGCTTATCACTCCATGATTTTTCAATGAAAAAAGTCTGTCGAGTGGTTTTCTTATAGTTCAAACACCGCTGAACCCGAATCTGAAATTCGTTTTTTTTTCATTAATCGTTTTTTAAGAATAGCCTGTGTCGGGAGTAGGTAAAATCGCAAATCGGATGAAAAATGGGATTAGGCTCTTTTCACATTCAAAGTCCTGTAACGTTGCCAGTTTTTAATAAAAAAATCTGAAAATTGGTATACTTATGGTTTTGACATCGCTGAACTCGAATCTGACATTTTCATTGATGACAGCTGTCAAAATAGCTGTCAAAAATCCCAAAAAAACGTTTTTTTTATTAAAAATGCCCATTTTATGGTTATTTCATGCGCTGAATCTGAATTTGATGTTAAAATAAACTTCTTTAATAATTGACAACTGTGAAACAGCTGTCAATTGACTATCAACATTTGTTTTAAAATAAAAATTTTATTTTTCAATGACTTTTACAATATTTTTATTGTATATTAGAGGTTTTGATGTATGACAGTTGTAAACTAACTGTAAAATTATGTTTGAACTTGAAATTTGACAGGTCAATCATTTGTACATTTTATTGAGTGATTTGGATGTCGGTTTTATGAAAATAAATACTTCAAAGTGCATTTTAATTTATAAAAATGTTTATTATATGTTACTAGTATTTGAGTCTACTCTTTTACATTCGTAACAACCATATCGAACTGTTTCGGTGATGATCTAAGACAGATTACATATTCTGAATTAAACAAGCTTTCGTAGAGTCTTTGAATTGTTTTTGATAATTCTCTACAACTTGAAAGACATATTGTTTATGTTATTCGTCATAAGTCAATCTATCTTTATATTCGGTTATCAATTTTAGTTGGGAAACGATTTTCGCAGCCAATCTGTAATTTTCGTTCAACTTTCAATCTGAAACATTGCAATGGAAGAAAGAAGTATTGATATTGAACCTTTTGAAAAATAAAATTGATTCAGGTTTGACGAAAAAATCGATATTCTTGTCATTCAAGGACACCAAATTGGCTTAGGAAATTTCATACTTTTTTGGCAAGACTATTTCCGAAAAATCGTTTTCAGAAGCGGTATCGATTCGTAAATTCTCCACCATTTTCTTTTTAATGTCTTCTGGAATTTGCTCATCGAAGAACGCTATCGATACCGCCTCCGGACTCAAATACCAAAGGTGTGAGCGAATTTTTTTTCTTGCAATTTTTGAAACATTTGTGTTTATTTCCTCATAATTGAAGAGTGCCTGAACAAATTTCAGTTGTCAATTATTAAAAAAGTTTATTTTAACATCAAATTCAGATTCAGCGCATGAAATAACCATAAAATGGGCATTTTTAATAAAATGTCAGATTCGAGTTCAGCGATGTCAAAACCATATATATACCAATTTTCAGATTTTTTTATTGAAAACTGGCGACGTTACAGGACTTTGAATGTGAAAAGAGCCTAATCCCATTTTTCATCCGATTTGCGATTTTACCTACTCCCGACACAGGCTATTCTAAAAAAACGATTAATGAAAAAAAAACGAATTTCAGATTCGGGTTCAGCGGTGTTTGAACTATAAGAAAACCACTCGACAGACTTTTTTCATTGAAAAATCGTGGAGTGGTAAGCCTATAGTGAAAGGCAAAATTTAATCATATTTTAACAATAATTAAATCTTTAACCCTCTTGCGGCACGTGTTAATTAAAAAAAAAAAATCTAAAAAAATTACCAAAAATTTTTTTTTCCCAAAGTACATCTTTTTGGGGGGTGCGAGCAAAAAAATTCGCACATCGCCCAAATAACGGACACCCTATTGGTGATGTGTGATGACTTTCTAAAAAATAGCTAAATCTGGTGATAAATCAAAATTTGTAATAAATAAGAAAATCTCAAATTTGAGTGAGCAGACAAGTAAACTGGGTTGTCTACTTTAATTATTATATTTTAAAAAATATTTGAAATATTCTCAAAAAAATGCATTTGGAAATATAAAACTGATTTTATAAAATAATTTTAGGACTTTTACCGTTATTAATTTCACCGATTCAATTATACTACTTATAAAACCTACACATTTTTATACAGTACAGTTTGTATTTTTATAAAAACAATATTTGCATAAAAAAAATAAAGAGTTTAAAAAATATATCGTCAAATTTCTAAAAATCATTTCTACAACAGTACCTACCTATAGGTATACCCAATACTAAGAGCTGAAATCTTCAGTGATTCTTTATTTTGATACAGAGAAAAGTTTTTAAAAATCCGCGAGGGTTTAATCTAAAAGAATGTATTTGGTGGAATAATCCATATACCCATAAATAGCATTCTATTAGTCGAACACAAAAGTGTGAGACTCACACTGTGAGCGGGCGAAGTTATAAAACGTTCGTCTATGTTTACGTTGTCACGTTATAACGCGTTAGTCGGTTTGGCTTTAGTTCAGATATTGTGTTCAACACAATAATCTTGTTTTAAAACTTAGTGTCAATTATTAATTTTGTCTACTTTCTTTCTAAACAAATTATTATTTTTAATACATATGTATGAATATGTAACTTAACTAATTTTATTTACTTTTACATACATAATTTTCACCTAGTGTTGTCCCGATTTGAGCCAATGGGCTTTTTTTATTTATGTTTATTATTTAATAAAATAGCATTTTAAAACTTTTGTTTTGTAAGGAAAATATATACAAATGTATTGTTAACCCCGTATTTATTTTGCTAATTAAGGATTCTTGTATTGCCATATATTCAGCCATATTTTCACCACTTGAACTCCCTCTAACTTAAACAGTTCATGTCAAATGGCAAATCGAATGCTATAAAAATGTTTAATTGACTATTTTTTTTAACGAATTATAATATAGGTGGTTGCTATGTATTTTTAAAAACTTTACGAATAATTTTTTTTTAATCATGAAAATGTAATAATTTGTATTCTTTTCAGGAATAAAACAACTACTGGAATGTGGATATATTTTTTATTTTTGGCTGGAGCGTTTGCTCTTCCAGCCAAAGATGCTTATGAAGTTGATAATGAATCATCAAGGAAAATATTAGGATCCAGGTAAATATACAGGGTCTCCCGAAAATTGCGTCTAACTAAAAAAACTGTGTATTTTTTATTAATCTTTTTTTTTATTGATGTTTGTAAATAAACCTAAAGAACCTATAACACACCCAAAAGTCTCACTTTGACATTTGAATGCAAATAATTAAGGTTATCTATCTGATAATTTAACTCTAATTTTGTCTAATATTCTGAAAATAACAAATTATATATTTTTGTGTAAAAAAATGTAAAATACAACAAATAAATACCTTTATTGTAATATTTTCATAAAATAAGACGAAATTAGCTTTAAACTGACAGATAAATAACCCAAATTATTTTAATTAAAATAATAAGGTGGGACTTTTGGGTTTGGTGCATAGTATATAATATGTACCATGCTTTACACATCAACGTCCCACCACGTGACTTTGATATAAATAATTAATGTTAATTTTCTGTCAGTGTCGAGCTAATTTCGTCTTATTTTGTAAAAATAATACAATATATGTATTTTTTGTTCTAAATTAAAACCTTTTTACACATAAAATACATATATTGTATTATTTATAGAAAATATGACAAAATTAGCTTGACACTGACAGATAATTAACCCAGAGATAAACCTTAATTATTTTGATGTATGGAGCATAGTACATAAGAGTTTAAGTAAATATTTAATTAAATTCTATTTACATTATTAAAGGTTTAATTTAAGGTTTAAATTGTATTTATATATAAAGCACAATATCTAAAGCAAATTTTAACATTGAATAATTAATATATAATAATACAATTTTTTACGTTTACCACAAAATTTGTAAACGGAAAAAATATTTTTGATCGCTACCCGGTCCATTGCCTTAAGAGATCTAAAATAATACTTGCACATATAAATTAAAATAAATCTTGTAAGCATAACGTTACAAAAATGGCGAATGCGCCGGGATAAGTACTAATTTTATTTCGATTTTCCAGTGTGGTAACGTCAGTATCTGTGATCATGGACACAGGAAACGGATCCAAGGCAGTATTCAGGGATGCAGTTGGCAAACCTGTATCTAAACCCATGGCAGGATCGGAGGTAGCAAGCCCTATAGACCTACTCAATCCAGACAGATACGAATTCTATACTTTCGACGATAGCGGTGATTTAGTTAAAAGGCTAATGACTTTGGAAGAAATCCAAGGAATTGTAGCGACAGGGGATAGCGGATTTGATATGGATTCGGTGGGTGTTGATTATACTCCAGAAAAGCGCGTCAATGATATTGTAAATAATGTGCAGAACGTTTTGAAAGAAGAAATGGAGATACATAGAGACACAATTGATACTAAACCGTTGTTTGATACGCCTGATGTTTCTGATTCATGGAGCATGATTTTACCGGCCATTTTTGGAAACTCTGGGGAAGATATTAAACCTGAAAAACCACAAGCGCATGTCACTCCAGATACTATAATGATTGAACCAACAACTCGGCCAATAAAATCAAGCACAATGACAAAACCGTTCCAGAGCAGCACAATTATTGATAATATTGTTTATCCTTCATCGTTATCTTCTCCACCACATTCGGTAACTACAGTCAGGTCAACCACTCTTAGCAGCCAGGTTTCATCAAAAATCATGTCAACTACGGAAAAATTAGTTAGTGCGCCTGGAATTTTAAACCCGAACATTAATGTTGAGATATATTCGCATTCTCATTCGACTACAGAAAGAAATATGTTTACTCCCATTGATGCTATCGAAGTTTCCAAGGAAAATTCAAGACCGGAAAACAATTTAGAAGTATCAAGATTACCTTATATAACTAAATTACCTTTAACAACTAAATTACCATCAACAACTAAAACCCCTTCAACAACTAAAATACCATCAACAACTAAAACTCCATCAACCACTAAAACTTCATCAACAACTAAAACTCCACCAACCACTAAAACTTCATCAGCCACTCAAACTTCATCAACAACTAAAATTCCATTTACCACTAAAATAATGACAATTGCTTCATCTACAACCAAAGTGCCATCTACTTCGAATTATCCATCATCCACTTTAATGACGACACAATCAAACGTAGCCACCAAACTACCATTATCAACTACTGTAAGATTATCCACTCTTATTCCTTTCTCTACATACGATCCAAAAGTAGCCTCAACACAAATAACCAGCTCTAAACCAATGACATCCGAATCATCTCTTCCAACCGATGTAATTCAAAACTCTTTACCAACGTTGACCGATCTTCTCCACATCAAAAATCCTGAACCGTCTCCCACATCCATTTCCTCTATCAAAAACATGAGTGAAGCTACAACAGTTACCCAAGAAGAATCGACAGCTGAGCTAACCACATTTTCGTACGTAATGAGCAACAAGGATATTCCAACTACCACTAAATCGAAAGATGAAAAACCCACGTATAACCCACCTACACTAGATGAACTTCTTCAAAGCCTGCAACAAAAAACTGCCATTTCTGATGACTTAAATACATTGGCAAGTGAATATATTAAACCCAATAAAAACTTCAGTACCACGGAGAGTTCTCTAACAACACTACCGATTATTTATTTAACTACCGCTTCCTTACCTAGCACAGTTAAGGAAGAGAAAATTACAACTACCAGTGCATTGGATAAACTACTTTTAACATACACAAATATTTACGAAATTAACAATGAGCTTTTAGAAAACGCTACTACCACAGAACAAGAGTTTGATAAGGAAAGTGAAAGTCAATATTTCACCACAAAACAAGAGCAACCAACCACAGAAGAAATAACTGAAACTTCCCCAGATGATTACACTAAACCTACTGTTATTAACTTAAACGATCCAACAAAACAAACCACAACCAACGAAAATCTTATTTCCAGCATCGAACAACTATTATCGCAGGCTGTAGGGCAAATTAAAGACACCGTAGTAACCAAAAACGAACATGTTATAGTGGAAAATCTCTTGAATGATACTGCAAATAAAACAATGGAGGAAGTCCAAAAAGAAACAGCTACGGCAGCATCGACTTTAATGGAGAGTTCCCAAGATATTCAAACTCCAACAGAACAAAATTTGTTAAACGATATTGCCTCAGCTAATACAAACCTATTAAGTGGTTCTGTAGGATCCCTATTGTCCCAAGTATATGGGATTAATAATCCTTCATTTACAACCTTAAGTGATTTAGCGACTGACAAATATCCAACCACAAACTTCAACAGAAAAAATGAAGATAGTACATATATGTATTACTTAAAAACAACTGAAGCAACTAACACGGAAGTAACCACTGAAATGCCCGAAAAAGTGACCGACAAATACGAAGAAATTGAAATATTTGAACAAACCACTATAGAATATGTAACTGAGTTATTAAATAAAAACAAGTTGGAGACTGAAGATACATACGAACCTCATATAATCAACATAACAATTATTGGAGCTGAAAAGAAACCAGGAAAACTCGATACAAGTTTAGAAGAGGAATATTTCAAGGAAAAATTGAAAAACGAAACTGAATCAATTTCTGTTACGACTGAGGTAGTTCCAGAACCCATTACAAATGTTGCCACAACTGAAAAAAGAGAAGATCCTACCACAATTTACTTTAACATAGTTGATACGACTATTGATATGACTACAGAACAAGCCACTACAGTTGAAGATATAATCCCTAGCGTTGTTGTTACTATTAACGAAAAAGCAAATAAAACACTGGAAGCTAACAATTTCAAACATGAAACTTTATCAACAATTGTAAATAATAAAATCCAAACCACAATGTTGCCTGTGGATGAATATACCAGTTCTCCAATTTCGACCTTAAAATTTACTACTGAAATGGATGCCACTAAAAGTATAGCCCAAACCCAAATCGAAATGATGAACCAAAAAATAACTGAAAACATAATTTCTACAACAATATTACCCAAAATTACGATGAACGAAGAACCCGAGGACAAAAACAAACAATCCTGGACGTTAGTTCCAACTATTTCGCCACATTCAGAAAAACCAAATAAATCTAGAAATAGTACCACAAGTCATCCAATCACGGCAATCGTGGAACCACCAGTGCCAGTAGATTTGATTCCAAAACCACTACAAGGTTTTGGATTGGAAGATAGCACTTCCACATTGGACACAGACATCTATCAATTTGTACAACTCTGCAACGAATTGGCATTCGGATTGTGGAAATCTGTAACAAGCAGCATAAGCACCGCAAGAAGCGTTGTGGTTTCGCCATTTGCCGCTTCCTCTCTTTTGGCTATGGTTTTCTTGGGAGCCAGGGGAGCCACCTCAGGAGAAATGAACGAAATTTTAAAATTAGACGACATGGTCACCTTCAACCCTCATTTAATATTCAAAAATATTACTGAATCAATACAATCGACACCGGAATCTGGTGTAGCTATTTCCGCCATTGTAAGAGAGTTATACAGCGATAAGAGCAAAGGTCCAATTTTAGGTTTTTACAAGGAAAGAGCAAAGCAGTTCTACGATGGACACATTGAAGAAGTCAGTTTTAAGGAGATTGGGGATGTAATTCGAAGAAGAACTAACTTGTTGGTCAAGAAATACTCCAAGGGAAAAATTGCTGAATATCTTAAAGATGCTAGTATCATAGTCAAGTCTCCTTTGGCCGGAGTGAGCATTAACATTTTTCAGGTAATTAACTAAATTATGAACTATATTTTAAATTGCATCAATTTGCATCTGCATCTGCAGTTAATATATTTTTGTTAAACGTGATTTATTTTGTTATTGTTTTTTTTTCAGACCGATTGCAGTCATGCCTCCACAGAAGGTCGCGATGGAGAACTACATTTTGTCGTACTTCCCTCAATAAGACAAAGAAGGTTAATACCCATTCCAGCAATACTATACAGATCAGGTTTCCTAGCAGGCTACGAGCCAAGTTTAGATGCTACTGCTGTTGCTCTTGGAACAAAAGATCAAGTAGTCAGTACCATATTTATAATACCGGGCCAGCAAGGTATCGCAGCACCAGGAGACGGTTTGGCGAGGTTGGAGAAACGTTTGGTTGAAAGTTCGTTTAAGAAGGGAGCATGGTCGAGGTTATTAAGAGCATTGATTCCCAGACCTGGTTTAGAGGTGCAAATACCTAGATTCTCTCATAGATCAGTGGTAAACGCAACTTGGGCTTTAAAGAAAATGGGATTGAAAGATCTATTTAACCCTCTAAAGGCTGATCTTAAGGGACTTAACGGTGTTGCGCATGAATTGCACTTTTCAGAAATGATTCAAATCAATAACTTTGCCACCTGTGGAGACGAGAGGATAGGGGAGACACACCATTCCGAAATCTACCCAGCAACCCCGTCATCGGCTAGAAGTGCAAGGTATATGGAATTCACCGACCAAATGGACTTTTTGGAGGAACCAAGGGATTACCAAAGGGCTTTCCATGACCCCCTACACGACCCAACTTACCTATCGTTGCCCCTTTCACAACGTCCAAGACAAGCAAGGATTCCGGAAATACCTAGATTAAGATTTGATAGACCATTTTTGTATGTAGTAAGGCACAACCCTACAGGACTTATATTACACATGGGTAGATTTAATCCTAGGTTACTGCCATAAATTATCGACTTTTATTAGTTTTTTGCCAAATTAAAACTCCATACTATTTGTAAATAGCTTTAAATTTAATACACAGATTTTGAAATGTAACTATGTATTATATGGCAGCAAGTGTGTTTGCTAAATTTAAAATTAATCTTGCGGTACCTATATAGATTTTTAGTTACATGTCGAAAAAAACCTAATTTATTTTTATCTCAAATACATTATTGTTAATTCATCATAGGTAAAATACGTAGTATTTATAAAAGAAAAGCTGTTCCACACTATAATACTTGCGTTGTATTACATTATGGAATGGCAAGATTTTAAATTATTTTTGGGTAGAAATAACAATTTTTTTGTTTTATGCTAAATAAAGATTTAAAACAAAAAATGTTTTTATTTCCAATCGCAAGCTTTTAGATTTTAGACCTGAATGGCGTAACTAAGCAAGTGTGTGCCCTCCCGCGAAATTTTGATGGTGCCTAAGGTTTAGAAAATGAGATTTACGGATGACCTTTGTCCAAACACGTTTAGACGCAAAAGGATGTGTGAAAAAATATATCTCCAGATCAACTTTTAGGCGCTCCACCGAACCGCGGGGTCTGCGGGTGCGTTATTATTGAAATGATATTCACAATATTAATGTCCGATTTAAAAATGTTTTATCAATTCCTAAACACAAATTTGAAGCATATAAATCTTGTTTTTCATATCAATGCTGCTATACCCACAATAAAGTTCAGGATTAGGTATCTAAAAAGTTATTAACCAAATAAATTTAAGTTTTCTGTAAAAAAATTAATCCTTAATGATCTGTTATTATAAATGTATACATTTTATCTAATTAATAAAATTACTTTTCATAACTAAACTGCTGTTCATAAGTTAGGGAACCCCCCTGTATAGTTAAGACGCCGGTATATTTGTTTCTTTAAACCAATATTTTATGAACAATACCTAATGTATTTTTAACATACCTGATAAAAAATACTGCTTAGTTTTTAACGCGATTTGTTTTAAAAATGTTAGTCATTTAAATCACATTTAGTAGATTATTGATAATTGACCACTTGTTTAAATCTTTTCTCATTTAATTTTATAATAATAATGGATAGGCAAAAGTTAAGTGTAGATCGCCAGTATATGGCCATTGAAATGCTAGAAGCTGGGCAATCATTGATAGCTGTCGCGGAACACTTTAATGTTTCAAAAAGCGTAATTTCTCGGCTTCGTTCAAGATACAAAGGTACAGAATCTGTGGAGGATAGACCTAGAATAGGAAGACCTAGGAAACTTACACCCCAACAAAACCGATATCTATCTGTTTCTGTCTGTAGAGAGCCTCTATCAACGAGACGGCAACTGAGTGGTCGCTTACAAAATGCTACAGTAGCATTGCTACTGGCGTGAGAGTTTTTGTTTCAACCATAAGAAGACGCCTTTTAGATCTTAATTTGGTTTCTAGGCGTCTTCTTAGAGGAGTTCCATTAACCAGAGCCCACAAACAGGCTCGATTAGAGTGGGCCAGACAACACTTACATTCCCAGATAACATTTATGAATCATTAAAAAATCACTCAGTGAACTCACTATGACATCAAATGCATTTCTGTGAATTCACCTGGACCTCACCTGGAGCTCATTAGCTGAATCATTGCTGAGGTCATCCTGAGTTCTTGATGAGATCATTTGTGAAATTAACATATTCAAATTTATCGCCATAATTGACCATATGCAAGGAATGCGGTCGATGTTGCCAATGGTAAAGAAATAAAATTCCCTATTGGGAACATTCAATTATATTACGTTGGCTACATTGAAAATTTGAATTTCCCGCACAAACTAAATTAATTTCCATCTTTTTTTTTTAATAATAATAAATAATAATAATTTCCACATTTGAAATTCGCACCTTAATTTATTATACAACATTGGAACTACCTTCATTATCTCTGGGAACTACTAGAATGTATGTCAGATTGTGCGGGAAATTCAAAATTTCAGTGTAGCCAACGTATTATAATTGAATGTACCCAATTGGGAAATTTATTTTTTTACCATTGGCAACATCGACCGCATTCCTTGCATATGGTCAATTATAATGCTTTAGCATGCTAAATATATAAATATTGCCGAACCGTTAAACTTTAGCTGCAATTAGCGGCAATATTCGGAATAAATCCTCAATATGGGCAAGTTGGTAAAATATCATTGTGGTGCCCTACTTTATAGAGATATTACATATTACAAGAGGTAGTGCCCTTTTTTATCTCTGGTAGTGCTGTCATAATGTCGTATGTAACGGTTTTTTTAATAAATTTGAGATTGTTCTGCAATACAGAATGTGCATTAGTATTATTTTAAGTGTTTTGGTTTTTATTATACTGGGGTAAGTAGGATTTTAAATATTATTTTATATTTGATTAGCTACTCGATTATGTTTTTGTTATATTTGGTACCTACGCTTAAAAAGTTAGGTTATATTTTTGCATTCAATCTTATTTTTTTTGCAGTCATAAATGCATGTTACTTTAATTTAATTTCGTGCTTGCAGTTAAATAATGTTTAGGCTATTTATTAAATAAAATATATAATAAATTACTTGCATGAACAGGTATACCTATAGGTATATGTATATAGGTAATAAAGGTTATGTAAAAGAATAGTTAATCTATTTTAATATTATTTTTTTCTGTTTAAAATCGAAATAATTGGTTATTTGGAAAAAAAATATTCAAAACATAAATAAATACGTGTATTAAATAAATATAAAAATGCAGTTTTTTTTAAATATCCCTAAGTGACCTAAACCTGATATTTTGTTATGTTTAACTTTTAACAACTTTTTTTGCTAGATACTGAAACCTAAATTACATTTTAAGAGTTTTTGGAAAAAGTACTTTTTACTTGTTACAGTACAGTACTCGTGAATACTTTTGGATTTTTTTGTACTTTGTAAAAAAAAAAAGGGAGAGGAGAGACCCCACGTGCTCCGGCGCCGGGGCCGGCCGCCGTACCAGTACGGAGGTCAACCTCGACACCGAATCACAACCCACAAGCCCTATGCCACTCGCCTCCCTTTTCTTTTCTTTTGTTTGCTTTATTAGTTTGTTTTGATACATTTTAGTTTTACATGTTTGCTTATTTTGTAATATAAATGTTAGGAACAAGAAGCGGCACAGGAGTGAAAATTGCCCGGGGTAGAGTGCGTGGTCTAGCCACTGCCACTCTCGCCCGGGTGTTTGGTCTCTTCTCGAGACGCACCGAAGTGCAGCGAGGTACCAATAACCCTCGCATTGATAAGTGAAAATAGTTGATTAGCCAATCGTGGTTTATTTAAGTTTGAGCCGGTTTTTGTTTATACTAATTCTACTTAAGACTAATTGTGCTAAGAGCTAGCAATTACTGATTATTACATATGAGCTCTTATTTGTTTAGATATGGATCCGCTCCCAGATATAAGTGTGGAAACATGAGATAAGGAGCGGAATCAAGAGCATATTTTGGCGGCGGCGACTGCGGCTACGCGCGTGGAGCACCACCACACGAGCAGGCCCGCAGGCATCCGCAACAAGAGGTAAGTATTAATTATTTTGGAATTTATTTATTTATTTATTTATTTTGGGATTTATTTAATTATTTTGAAATTTGCTTAGCGAAGAGGAATGTGAATGTATCGATTGAAAGTTTTATGCTTGAACTATGCCTGGTCGTTTGAGAAGTGCAAGTATGTTTTACATTATGCTGTCGTGAGCGTCTGATATAACGTACAGTACAGACGTCGACAGAGCGGCCTGGCGAGTCAGCCTAGCGGTAGATCCTCGCAGATTGCGAAAGGATGTAATAGTTCGGTTGAGTTCGATCTTAGCAGACCGTTAAATAAATCAGACGCGGTCGGAGGCCATTCGGGGAATAGCGCAACCAGAGCGGTCCTAGGTTCGTCGTACAGTGGGCAGCTGAAGATCCTGTGTAGAGGGTCGTCTGGATTGAAGCAGCGTGGACAATGCGGGCTGTCAAGACTGCCGACTCTGTGGAAGTGCTTACGGTATCTTCCGTGGCCTGTAAGGACTGAGGCCAGCGTTCTATTATAAGGTATTGCCATTTCCTGTCTTTCCTCTACTGAGGGAATGAAAGCATGTGTGATTCTGCCTTTATCGCAGTCGTCCCAGGACGATTGCCATTCGTCGAGGCTGTAGGCCAGAATGATCGCCTTAGCGTTTCGGATGCTAGGTAGCTCCTCTGTATTATCCCAGTTTATGCCAATGTGTGAAACGGGGAGCTTTTTCCTTATATTGGATATAGCTAATCTGCCGGATAGTTCTAGTTGCATCGGTAGGATGTTTGCAATGACACAGGCCGCTTCTGCGGAAACGTCTTTGTAGCATCCACAGATAGTTCGGGCACAGATTGCTCTGCATGAGTCTAGATTCCTTTCGGCCCTGCAGTAGTGCGCCTTGTCTTTCCATACCTCGTATGCGTATCCCACTATTGGGACAATAGCCGCTAAATATATTATTCTCAGGCTGTTTGACGGAGGTGCCCATATTCTGGTAAGGTGACGACGGAGATTGGAGAACAGTTGCTTTGCTTTTAAACAGGTCAGGCTGATGTGTTCTTGAAAGTTCATTTTGCGGTCGAAGACGACACCCAGGTACCGCGCTGACTGAACCCCCCGAATGGGGGATCCGTTTAATTTGATTGATGGGAGCCTTGCCGCCCCGCCGGCGAAAAGAACATAGTTGCATTTCTCCACTGAGAAGGTAAGCTTGTTGTCAGATGCCCACGAGCATACTTTTTTTAGGGCATTATTAGCCACGGTTTCTAGGCCACATCTGGTGTCGGCCCAGAAGAAGATAGCCAGGTCGTCCGCATAGGCGAAGACTTTGGAGTTATTCCCGAGAGGGATTTTTAATAGATTATCTAAGGCAGCATTCCATAGGAGCGGACCCAGTACGGAGCCCTGTGGGCAGCCTCTGGTAAGAGTTTTGCTTTTCGTGATTGAACCCAGAGATAGTGTTGTGGTCCTGTTTTTGAGGTAGCTTTTAAGGAATAAGACTAGATCGGCAGAGAGCCCTTTGTTAATTAGAGAGTGTAAAATCGTGGGCCACCAGACATTGTCGAATGCCCCTTTGATGTCTAAAAAGCATGTAATAGAAAAGTTGGAGTAGTTGGTGTTAATTGTATTTGTCAAGTCTGAGATGGCGTTAGTGGTAGAGCGCCCCTCTCTGAAGCCGTATTGACAGCTGTTGTGAAGATCTGGCTCCGGTATTTCGGAGAATATATTTCTCTTGATTATTCGCTCGAGAGTCTTCCCTAGGACAGGGAGAAGAGTGATAGGTCTGAGATTCTTTAGAGTGTTAGTAGAT